GATTCTCTCCGATGCAGTGCAGTTAAAAATATATCTCTGATGCTGTTCCTAAATTAATACCATTTATGACCATCAGCTATACTGATTCTCTCCGATGCAGTGCAGTTAAAAAAAAAATTCTGATGCAGTTCCTATATTAATATCGTTTATGACCATCAGACGCTTTATGCTCCTCTTCTTTTTATGCTGAGCTACTAAAATTTCCCTTTAGTTGTAAAATTCCATATAAATATTCAATTCTAAGCGAATTAAAACATGAACAGTAAAGAGATTAAATGAAGCAATTGTTTCACTAACAACCAATACACCATGAGTGCCCGTCGGTCATTTTGGCCAGCCAATCACGTACTGCGGTACAACGCGGTGAACTTTAGATAATTTCCCGCGATCCGGGGTTGTACCATGCATTTTGAATGGCTGCATCTGTATTTTAATATACAGAGATGAAATACAAAATCACTATTCAAAGCACTCAAAAAAGTTATAGTAGATCTAAAAAATGTTGAAGGCGTCTAGGTTTTAATGCAACATGTATTTTACTAGGTTAATTTAAATAAAAATACAAATCAAATAAGTAAATTATGAAAAAACTATCATTTGTACTTTTGTATATTTACTGCCACATCAAATTCTTTGCTGGTAATGCTGTTTAGCAGTGAGAATCAGCTTCAGCAAAAGACAAAATTAAGAGAAGGGCTAAGAGAAAAGCTGATTTTCTACCTGCTTCTTAATTTAAGATGTTTGTATAGAGGGTTTAATGAAAATGATAAGGGCACCACAGAGAATCAAACAGAATACAATTAACAGGACAATAATGAACAAGGAAAAACAAAAATGCAGATGATATAAACTGTTGCTTTCAAAACAATTTTGAGTGAGATTGTTGAGGTTAAAATTACACCTGTTTTAGCAGACCCCACAATTTCCACCGAAAATCAGAACAACTTGTGTATGGATTAGCAGAATCAAAATGCTGCATTTGTATGAGAAGCAAGAAAAAGACACAACGAAAAACCAACAAAAAAAAAGAGAAAATTGGGCAAGCTGAGGACGTGGGATTGATATTATTTAACATGCCTTGCCCAACTTATCACAGCTCCTTATAGGATTCACTGAAATCATAGCAGTACGGCCAAAGCTGTTTTAACCTATTCACTACCGTTTATGGATTATCTACTGACCAATATGATAACTGACAATGAGTGAATTTGTAAACTGTTATAGTTTGGCACTATAGAAGTACTGACAGTCTTCTTTCCTAAGTTTCACCAAGAAACTTGCAGTTTCACAAGATTATTCAAAGTAATTAAAAGCAAGTATATGGTTTCTTCATGGTTAATGATAAAAAACATAATCATTACCACAATAAAAAGAATCTATGCCTCACTACTTTTGGCTTCCTTGCTGCATGTCAAATATTGAATATTCTTTGACTAATTACTAGTGGGGAAGTCTGCATATCGTGCAACTTTTGAGCAGCTGAAGAATTTCATATTACTAAATCAAAAGTCTCCCTATCTTTTTTCAGATTTAAACCTGAGACATGTATCAGACCAAAATATCTCAAAAGGTAATTCTATATATCTAACTAATAGATACTAATATTCAATAACTGTGATGTGAATACTGTACAAAAACATTTAAACTGTGCAGCACTATACTATAAATAACACATTCTGTATCACTCAGACAATACTATTGTTTCCTAACACAAGCCCTGTGAAATTACAGATTTGAAGAATCCTATGGTTATTAAAATATTCTTAAATGCTCGTAGGCGTAAACTGCTGTTACTCAAAGACAGCAGTTATTACCTTAATTGCTTTTCTTTTATCAGTAATGTGGGAAAAGAAACAAAAGAAAGCTAAAACCAAGCCAAAAAGCATTCTTATGACCTATTCCTTAGGATGCTAAACAAACAAACAAATCATATAAGATCAGGAACTCTTACCAGTCATCATCTGTGTAACTATATTCCTCAGGCTCAGGAGAGTGACTTCAGTAAAAGGAGAAAGCAAAAAAGCGCAAGAAAGAACACAATACTATCACTACACACATGATACAATGACTTCCTGGCATATCAGCCTTCAAAACACATTTGACCTCTTTAAGTCACTTAAAGCTGCATGCTGGCTTCAGTCTATTTCTGAGTCCACTTACAATTATGATTTTGTGAATGACGACTGGAATTAGCCTTTGCTACATTGTTTATGACGTCATTAGAGACTTCAAAAGAGAGATGAGACCTCCAAATGTGAATAAATAAAAAAGCCATTTAAAATGATGCAGCACCAAGAGATGAAAAGATATTGTGGGTCAAGATTAGGGGGAGACTTGGACAATCTTGAAAATACAACGTTAAAGCTTGAAATACAGCAGCAAACTATTGTAAAACAATGACAAAATTACAAGTTACCTTAACACGTAATACCCATTTTACATACAATCCCAGCATTTTCATGAAGCACTTAAAAACATCTGTGTTGCGCACAAAGTCAGTTTCACTTCTTTGTAAAAAGTAATAATAATACAGCAATAATTAAAAAGTCACAAACATACAACAATTTGATACAATGATACATTGTATTGTATATATAACATATACAGTCTATCACAACACCAATGCCTTGCACACCAACAAGAATAATAGAATCTATTTGTAAATCTATCTGCCATGATACAAAAAGTTGATCATTCACTCAGGGATTACAAAGATAAGAATTAATAATGTCTGAGTTATAATTCCATTATAATGGGTAACATGTCTACCTCATATATTATATCAGTCTCATATATGTAATCACATTCATATTCTCAAAGACAAAATATGCCTTTACTGTCGTGAGCTAAAATTTATCAAATGTGTTTAGAATAGTTTAACTTCAGAGAACTGTGAATACAGACTCAAACATCCATTGGCCAGTTGGAGTTTTGAACTTCCTGCTGAGGACGGAGCTGGGTTGGGTTTGTCACCATGATAGGACTTGCGCATTCCTCAACTCTCACTTGTACAACTGTGAACTGCGCTCAACTTAATCTCCGAATCTCAAGTTAGCCACAGCCACATCTGCCAGCTCAACTGATTGATCCAGTTTGCTTGTCAGCAAGCAGCTTGCTACTTGTCTCCAGAATGTGCATGTACCACCCAGCAGCTCTGTGCAACTCCCTGCGTTCTGCTTGCGCATTTCCTACTCAGCTGCCTCTCGCCCAGTACTTGGGTTCTCTCACGTAGTAGTCCCATTGCAGTAGTGTGACATTAAACTATCATGCTGATTTAGATGTTGTCCAATGAACAGTATAATAAAAATTCAGATTATGGTATGAAGGAGGCTACCTGCGAGACATGTATGTCTGCTTGAGTGGACTTTACTCACTTTTTTCTTATCTGCTGCTTGCACAAGCTGTGCTTGTAACAGAACAAAACTCCTTAAGAATGAGCTGATCTTGCAAGGCAAAATCAAATGTTCTTTGAACTCTTTAAGCAGCCATATCTTGTCTTTAAGAACATTGTGTCATTTAAGCAAACATATTAGTCAAGAGAGCAGAAGTTGTTGTGATTGATGAGAACTCTCTCCCACCCTGAGTTTCTGTTCTGTATCAAAAATGTATGTTGTAAACAAGCCTTTGAGTCTCGCCTTTCAGATCTCTTTAGTCTGAAGGTTTGCCTCCTGTATGCATACATACAGATGCAGCCATTCAAAATGCACGGCACAAATCCGTACTGCATGCAACTACCCACAAACCACCGCAGCGTACCACGGTACGTGATTGGTGTCACGGACGTCCAAAGGGACTAACCGTGGGGAGGAGGAGAGCGGAAAAAGACCCATATGCGTAGCGGCGAGACGGG